CTTTTTTTTTTTTTTTTTTTTTTTTTTTTTGACAGTTTCCTTAAGTCCACCCAATCTGGGCTCGAACTTATGATCCTACTGCATCAGTCTCCTGTAGTGCTCCTGTTACAGTCTTGTGCTACCATACAGAAAGGCATTGTACTCCCAGTTTGCAAGGTCTTACTTGCATTCTGTGAAAGATAAAGTCTAAGACTTAGAATGGGAGAGAGAGAGAGAGGACACTGGGTTAAATAGTGACCTCCTCTTTCAAATTTACATCCCTTCCTGGAACTTTAGAACATGACCTTATTTGGAAATAGGGTTGTTGTCTATATACTTAGCTACAGAGTTGGGTGGACTCTAAATCTAAAATAACTGATGTTCTAAGAAGAAGAAGAGAAAGGTAACAGTCAGGCAAGAGTACATCAAGTGACAAGGAAGGCAGAGATTGGAGTGATGTGTGATCGAAGTAACACCAAGGGTTGCCAGCAACTGCCAGGAGCTAGGAAGAAACAAGGGAAGGATCCCCACCCACCTGGGGCCTTCAGACTGCGAACAGCTTGCTTTTGGACTTGAAGCTTCAGAACAATGGGAATAATTTCTGTTGCTTTAAGCCTCTGTAATTGTGGTATTTTTGTCATGCTAACTCTAGGAAGCTAAAACAGAGGAAGGAGCTAGGGTGTGGCTTGATTGAGATCTGTTCACATGCGTAACTCAGGAAATAGGGTTGGCCTGACCAATGGAGGGAGATGCCTTAGAGAAGCTAGGCACACATCTAAAGAGACTAACCACCTTGTGGGTCTAGCTCTACCCACGGCAGTGCAGCCCTAGCTCCTCCTCATTACAATTATGAAGGAGAAGCACTGATTCTTGGCCTCCATCCCCAGAAACTGTTGGTCTGGGGTGCAGCTTGGACATTGGGATTTCTGAAAGATCCCGGACTATTCCAGTGGGCAGCTGAGGTTGAGAACCACCCATCCAGGAAGAGGGCAGGATCCCAAAGATGGTGCAGCCTTAATTGGAGGACAGAATCATTGGTACCATAAACCAAGAGATGCAGCCTAATGTCAGAATAATACTGGCTTTTTTTATAAATACCCCATCGAGATTATGGGAAAGTATTTGAAATCTTACTGTACAGCATTATTTATGGCTAGATACATCAAAGAGATTTCTTGGCTGTGAGTGACAGAAACCTAAACTAAATACATTTAAACACGAAAAGTGTTTTACTGATCATGCTACTGGGAAATCAGAAGATAGAATGGGATTTAGATTTAGTTGTAATCCAGAGAATCAATAATCCTCCACCCTGCCTTCATCATTTTTCACTGCCCTTGGTTCTGCCTACTTCTTTCTTTCTTCAGTAGGCAAGCAGCCTTACATGTCTTTGGACTTGGAATTATAGTGCTTTGGATTGAATTGCGTCTCCCAAAATGGTATGTTAAGGCCCCAACTACCAGTTCCTGTGAATGTCAACTTCTTTGGAAGTATGATCCTGGCAGATATAATAAAGAGATAATTTAAGAAACTATCATACTGCAGTAAGATAAGCCATCATCTGCCATGACTGCGGTCCACAACCACTGGGAATTGAGGAGAAGGCATGGAAAGATTTCCCCCAGGGACTTCAAGGTGACCATGCCTCTTCCAACACCTTGATTTCAGCATTTTGGGCTCTGGGACTCTGAGAGAATAAATTCCTGTAGCCAGTCAGTTTGAGTGACACGTCATGGCGGTGTTGCGATACTCACATACCCAGTGACTGCGTCCACCTCAAGAAAACTATGCCACGGTCTTATGTGGACCTAATTTTCAGGCAGGGGCTACTGGATCAGGTCATGTGACAAACCATGTTGTGGGGAGTCCACACCCCATGAAGGGGAGATAGGGAAGTGGGCATTGAGGCAGATGGAAAAACAGATTCTTCAAGAAAAACTGATATGTACTTCTTGACCACAAGTCATTGAGCTTTTTTAATGAGCCAGTTAGAGCCCTGGTGTTTTACAAAGTAATAGAAAATACAGAAGAGTCACAGATCATCTTCTACAATGTATTACTAGAAAGTTACTTTTTAAAAATAGTCACAGACCATGGTATTTCTCACATGCCTAGAAGGGGAGAAGGAGCCCATTTGCTTTGGCTTTGTTTAAGTAATTCTTTTGTCTGCTCAGATTGTTTTCTTGGCTTTCTTCTTCTTCCTTTTAAATGACTCCCAGGCTGGGCAGTGGGAGGAAGACGCTGCTAATGTTCCTGTGGGGTGTTCAGGCTTTATGGCTGGGTTTTGCATTGGATTCTTGCTTGTGTTTAGACATCTACTGTTATTCGCATGTGCCTACTTAGGGAAACAGCTGCACTCATTCTGCCCAGTGCCACATAGAACAGTAGAAGCAGAGAGCAAGCCCTGATAAACACATTAATTTCACCAAATGGTTCTTGTTAGGCCTTTAATCTCATTTCCTGGACTTGGCGATCTAACCTTAGAAAATGCAGCTAGGGATTTTTTCTCACAGCACTAGATTTAGTGTTGTAAGGAGGAGGAGTGAAAGGAGAATCAAGGTGCCCATGTATCCTTGCTTACCCAGCAAGCGTCAGCCCAGACTCCTTCACGCTCAGATTGGTTTGGACAATGATATATGTGGTCAGTATGGCTAGTAGACTCATCACCCAGCTAGTAAGTGATAAAGCCGGATTCACCCCCCAAAAATCTGTCGACTGGGTCTCTACTGTACCAGGCTCCTAAGAGAGTTCATCAACCTGGCTGAACACTGTGGCAGGTCAAGAAGAATGGTGACTGAGAAAATAAGACTAGCGTGGGCTACAGCCTGTTCCGGAATCTTTTCGAGTGTTGCCTGTTTTAGCCTTGTTTCCCTACTGGAAAGAAAGAGGGAAGTTATCTCTTTTTTAAAATGCCATCAAGAAGCCCTCCTTAGGGTATTTGCTACTTTAAGAAGAAAGAGAAAGGTTTCTGTAGAAAGGTAGAAAACTGAGGGTGTCTGTACATTGAGAGAATGAAACTCTTGGAGAGGAACTGAACTCTGTCTGCCCAAGAGGCATCCGCACTCCCATGTGCAGTGCAGCACCGTGCACTACAGCCAAGCTATGGAAGCGATAGTTGGATACATAGCTAAAAACGTAAGTGGGACTATGCACGATGGGGTATTCTTCAGCCTTTACATACAGGAAAGCCTGTCATTGGTGACAACACAGATGGGACTAGAGA